CATTAGCCTTGAGCACAGAGAGGCTCAGGAGCACTGAAAGGCTCAGGGACAGCACCCAGGCTGAGTTCAAGCCCCAGGACCAAAAAAAAAAAAAAGAATCTCTGGATTTGTCTACCAGGACTGGCTTAGAACTTGGATCCTTATATATCAGCCTCCTGAGTAACTAGACGGTGGAATGAGCCACCATCACCCAGCTAGACTTTTTTTTTTGTCAGTCGTGGGGCTTGAACTCTGGGCCTGGATCCTGTTCCTCAGCTCTTCAACTACTTGAGCCACAGCACCACTTCCGGCTTTTTTTCTGCTGATGTGGTGCTGAGGAATCGAATCCAGGGCCTCATGCATGCAAGGCAAGCACTCTACCACTGAGCTTGCCTTCACCACATAAGCAGAAAAAAAAAAACAGAAGTAGCACTATGGCTCAAGTGGTAGAGTGCTGGCCTTGAGCTGAAGAGCTGAGGGACGACAACCAGGCCCAGAATTCAGGCCCCACAACAGGGGGGGAGAGGGGGTGCATTTGAGTCAGAAAAGGCAGGATTTGGGTGTCTTTTCTGTCATATGGAAAAATGCTGAAGGTTGTTGAGGTGGGATGATGGATATGTGGAGTTTTACTGTACTGTTCTTTTGTGTACCTCAGCCATTTCCATTTCTCATGTTCAATTTCACTCAAATGATGCTAGATTAGTGTCTATAATCAGCTCTATGAAATTTGCTAACAAATACTACTTAGAACACTAAAAGGAACAAACTGACCAATGTCAAGTTACTATGACATCAATAGTGAGTAGCATGGTGGGTAGGGTCTTAAACAGGACTTTAGGTGGGACCTGAGACAGGTGACTACAGAGTATATCATCAGATTTCCACACTTCATTCAGTTCCTGATACATTTTATGCACCAGAGAGCTCAGAGTCCCATTGCATCAATGTAGTCCAATCACTACCTGCTTCAGAAGCATGTTAAAATATAGATCCAGGACCCTACTCAGACTGAAGACCACTAATACAGAAGAGTTGAGATCTGGGAATCTGGCTCTCAAGGTCCTCCTCTGGTGGGCTTGATGAACACTAAACTTTGGAGACCCTGAATATCTCTGTAGCTATTAGCCAGGATGATCTGCTGACTTCCACCGACAGGATTTGACATTGCCTCTCTTCCAGCCTCAGTCAGGAGTCTGGTGGCAGCTCCCCCAGGCCTCCTACCTGCACCCCACCACTCCAAATGCTTGGAAACAACTGGGACCGATCTCACCAGGCCCTTACATCAGTCACTATTAGCAGACCAAAAATTTTAGGATATCTTCTGGCTCCTGAATCCCAAACCACTTTGTATATAACCTTTTCTACCCCATCTCTCAACCCCGTTATTCTGAGACTTTGTGGTCTATTCCCAGAAAGATCCTTTTCATTTTCAGCCTCTACTCAGAATGGTACCTTTACTCCTCTTGCTCCAACAATGCCTGGTGCTTCCTGAGGACAGGCTCTCCTGCAGTCCTGTGCAGTGGTGGCTGTGTACTCTCCACACCCCTACATGATGGCTTGGAAGTACAGTAGGGTCATCTTAGTTCCTCCTCCTATAACCAGTTAGGCTCTACTACCCACTACCCTTCATTCAAATCATGCATCTTCCCCCTGGCCATCCCCTTTGCCATCCATTATCTGGAGACTTTGAGTTCCTCTCTCCTGAACTTCCCCTGTTGTCATAATTCTTAGTAATTTGTATTGATATGGATACTTCTTCCAGTACCCTGCCCTCTCAGTTCCTTGACCTCCTGTCTTGCATCATACTTCAGCCACTCACTACCATGCTCACTTATGATCTTATCATTACCAGAGACATTAATGAGGTGGCTAGTCATGAACATGGAATATCTCTTCATTTACTTCTTATCGCCAATGAACTGGCAAAAAGGCAGAAGTGGAGCTGTGGTTCAGCTGGTGGAATGCCAACCTTAAGATCAAACTCCAGTACCAGCACACACATACACGCCCGTGCACACAAAGGATGGGCACAGGTGGCTCATGCCTGAAATCCTAGCTACTTAGGAAGCTGAGATCTGAGGAGCACTGAGCCAGCCAGGACAGAAAACTCTTATTTCCAATTAACCAGCAAAAAGCTGGACATAGGGGGCTGGGAAGGTGGCTCAGTGGTAAAGCACTTGCCTTGCATGCATGAGGCCCTGGGTTCGATTCCTCAGCACCGCATAAGCAAAAAGAAAAAAGC